CCCGGCCGGTCGGCCCCTTCTGGGTCCTCCCTTTGCAGCCCGTGCGGGGCCGTCTCGGAGACCCCGCGCCGACGGCTGCTCAAACATCAGGGTGAGTTTCTCACAATGTAGCAATTTCTCTTTAAATCTCTTAACTCTCTCTACCTGCGAGTCGGGGCTGTGACAGGGCGCAAAAGCGAGGGGGGAGTGGGGGTTGGCGGCGAGGGTGTGTGTGGGGGGAGCCGGAGCCGGGGCCGAACCCACCCCCCCGACACTCTCACTCTCAGCCCCCCAGCCGGGGCGCAGCGTCCGCTGCCTCTCTCTCTCTCTCCCTTTTTTTTTTTGCTCGGCGCCCACCACCACCGGCACCCCCCACCCCGGGTCTCTCCCGCCGCTGCCGCCGCCCCGATCCTACGGGGACCCCCCCTCCGCAGCTCCCCTGCCCAAGCCCGGCGCCCGGTGCCGCTCCGGCCCTCCCGCCGGCTGCCGGGGATACAATGGAGCGGCGGAAAAACGAGACCTAACGTTCCACGGGGGGAGGGGCGGGGAGACCCCCCCGGCCTCGGCGCCCCCTCCCCCGCCCTGCTCCCCGCCTTTCGGGGAAGGCGAGGGCATTGGGGCAGCGGGTAGCGATTTCCCGGCCGAGGCAGCGAGCCTTCACATCCCCCTCTCGTCCGTCCCCTGCGCCCCCTCCCCAAATCCCTCCCAGTGGTGCCGGGCAGAGTGGGGCCTCCGCAAGCTGGGGAGGGATGGATGGGGAAGGAGGCTACAGGGTCTCCCCCTCCCCACCGCCCCTAAACAATGAAAGGAGTTGACTTGGACCCCCAGCCCCAGCAAAGAAAGGAGTTGACCCCCGCCCCCCAGCTGGCTGGTCCCCGAGGGGGCGGTCACAGAGGGCTGGGGGGAAGGTGAGGCTTGCTCCTGTCACCTCCCGAGATTTGGGGCGGCCCCCGGTCGCCACCCCGTCGGCCTGGAAATGGGAGGCACCAGGCCTAGCCCGGGCACCGCGCTCGGGTGGTGACCTTTAGACAAAGGCAACCCTTTCCCCGGGGTGAGCCCGGACGAGCCGGGCCGCGGCCTCCCCGGGCCCCTGCGGAGGGCGGCCAGGCGGCGGGCACCGGGGAGGGATGGAGGAGGAGGGTGGAGGGATGGAGCCATCTGGTTTTCCCATCCCTCGCTGTCCCTCCGCTGCTTCCCCGGCTCCTGTCACCGGGAGACCGCGGGGAGGCAAGGGACCAGGGGCCGCCCAAGCCCCGGTCCACCGCCAGCCGGAGGACCCGGCAAGGAGCCGCGGGAGGGCGCGGACTCAGGCTCGGCTGCCAGCGGTGATTGGAAGGCACGGTGGCTCCTTCCTCTCCGCGCCCCTTTGTTTTGCTTTGTGGTTCTGAGCAGCTGAGCCTCCCCGGAGGTGGGGTCAGAGGCCGCTGGGTCAGCTTTCTAGGGGAGGCCCCCGGTGACAGGTTCCAGCTCTCTGGTGTCCCCAGCCTGTGGGCTGCGGTTCCTCCTCAGTTCCAGTCCAGACCCTCATCCCCTTTTGTCAACTCCCCCCCAGTTAGTGTAATAAAAATCTGGGATTGTAATGAGCGTTTGCATTTCCCTTGCACCTCCTGAGGGGCACCTGTTAGGGAAACTGGAAACACCTAGGACTCCAAGGCCTGAGATTTATCATCAGTGCACTGTGCTTTCACCCTTTCTACACCTGAGCTGGGGGTCCGGGCTCTGTCAGCTCTGACCCCCACCTCTCCAAGGAAAATGGGGAGGCAGACAGTTCAGGGACCACCCTTTTCCTTGCCTAATAGGATTCAACAACCAGCAGGTTCACCTTCTCTGCCCCCCCCCCACCACCAGACATTCCCCCATCTCCCAGAAGCCGGAAATAACATCTCCCCACCCAGGGAGTACTATGGATTGGCTACTGCTAAGTGCATTGCAGCTGGCCACCATCCGAGCAGGAAGTAGGGGCACTTATTTTTCCCATTTCGCAGACAGGTTCATTAAGGCCCAGAGAGGTTAAAGGGCTTGTGCAGTCCTGGGTCACACCAAGCCCCAATGCGGAACCACTTAAGAGTTTCTCCAACCTAAATCAAAACTATTGTACTTTTTGTGGCACTTTGTTTCTTTGATTTAAGTGGACCTGGGTCTTAAATATAGATAATCCCTGGAAGGAGCTACCAGATGTCTTTCTGTGAGGGCTGGTTTGGGCAAGGGCTAGAAGCATCTGGAAGTGGGCTGAGGCTGAGATATTTGAGCTGTGGCTAGGTCAGAGCAACTTGCCTTCAGGAACGGAGAGTTGGAGGTGTGAGTGGGGCAGGGGGAGCCTCAGACCTGGGAGCTCGCGCCAATGTCTCTCCCCCGTCTTCATCTGCCATCTGAGCGGGAACTTGGCCTGCTTGCTGCTGCTCAGCCCTGCCCAGAGGTGACTGAGCTGACTGGAGCTGTTGTTGATGCGGTTGATGGCCCTCTGACTCGTCACCCATCATGGCACCTCATGCAGTTGGCAGAAAACTCCAGTGTCCACCGCTGTTCCACCCTGTGACCCTAAGCGGGTCATTTTCCTGACTCGCTCAGTTTCTTCATCTGCACGTGGGGATAATTACAGTTCCTTTAACTCACTTCTGGGTGGGTGAAAGCATCATCCAGATGTGTGGTTTATATTCACCGTTCAGCAGGCAGGATGTGGATGCTACGGGCACTGGGGAGGCGTGTTGGGTGCTAAGGTGAGTGGCAGGAGGCCTCTGCCCCAGAATTCCCTGCCCTAGGGGAAAGGCAGCTGAATAAACTCCACTTCAGTGATGCTTGCCCTTCTAGCTCTAGTGACTGGGGACGCCAGCCCTGCGCACTAACCGCTGCTGCACATACAGTTAGCTGCAGGGGTGGGGCTGGTTGGGCTCCACTTACCAGTGAGGGAGGTCATGTGAGTGATGCCCTTGGACAGATGAGGAAACCGAGTCGGGAGAGTGTTCCGGGCTGAGCTAGGCTCTAAGCCAGACTGCCAGGGATGCTGGGGAGGGGGCACCGTGTTTGTCACCAGAGCTGGGGAGGCCACACCTCATAGGCTCTGATCTCAGGGACTTTGACAGGTCCCCTGCTTCCCCAGCCACTGTCCTCTCCTTGATGTTCCTTGGTGACATGACATGACAGGCATAAGTAATACTAACCTTCAGGGTGGGGCGGGAGAAAAGCTATGCAGAGCAGTCTCTTGAGGTCGAGGTCTGAGCTTTCTGAAGAGGGGAGCTGCTCTCTGGGGAAGGTCGGAGATTTGGAGAAAGGCCAGGTGGGGGCCACTCCTGCACCCCCCACCTGCTAACTTCCTTTCCAGAGGCCTCTGGACCTTCCCCAACCTTTCCTCAAGATGTGGGGTCTGTCCTAAGGCTAAGAAGGGCCAGGGGGTCAGCGCCAAGCCTTGGGGCCATGGGGCAGAGGGCTGTTTCCTTACCTCTAGGTACAGCTGCCAGCCTTCCCGGGCCCCCACCCCAGGCTGCCTTGACTCCCAGTCTCAAGAATGCAGAGGGCTGCTGCTGGGGGCTAATTGGAAACAGGAAAACTTGGCATTCCTTTGCAGCCGCCTGGGCTGGGAAACGTGAGGGGCTGCCATTTCCCTTCTCCCACCCTACAGGGGAGGGGTGGGGGCAGGGAGCACGGTTATCTTGTCCTGGACTATTTTGTGTGACCCCTGCCCCAGGCACCTCCCTACAGTGGATGCAGCTCCTGGCACCTGAGCTGGGCCTCTGTCTGCTCTGGTCGCTGCTCCCGCCTTCCCCAGCAGAGCGAGTTGCCCCACTCACCCAGCCCTTCCTCTCCTCTGGTGTTTTGTCCCCCTTCTTGCCAGAGTTTGCTCCCCAGCAACATCGAGTTTACCACACCAGAGCCACATGGGAAGAGTTTGGTTGAATGGTCCCCAGGGATTCCCCCTGGTCCTCCTTGGCATTCTCCCTGGCCTACAGCACCCCCATTTGAGTTTTGTCCCAATTGACTGAAGCCTTTGTGTCTCAGTGACATGCAAGTTTTCCCGCTGGGGAGGGAGAGCTTTCTAAGGCATTTCCAGTTTGGTGACAATTAGTTTTGTGTATGAGTGTCTGTGTTCATGGGGGGTAGGTGGCTGGCTGTTGGCAGGGGAAGCAGAGAGAGCCTTTGTTTCCTTCATTGTTCCCAATTAAACTTCCTGAGGGCCTACTGTGTGCCAGGGCCCTGGGGATCAGTCATGATATTGGGACCCAGTCCAGCAGGAGGAGGAGGAGGGGAGGAATGCTGGATCAGCTGCTGTGGGATTTGATTAATTCTGTCTGGGTGGCCTGAGAAGGCTCCCAAGGAGGAAGCCACTTCTCTGTGGCTGCTTTTCTTTCTAAGGGATAGATGCACATGGGACAGAGTTAAAATACCAGACCTCCCTGGCCCCCCCGGCTCTTCTCCCTAGGAACACCTCTCAGTTCTGAAGTTCTGTGTGCACGTTTATATGAGGACCGTGTCTTCCAAAGCCCTTGTTGCATCCAGGTGGTGCGTCCCTCCTGTTCTGCCTGTGCGTTCTCACCCTGGCTCCCTGGGAGCCCTGCACCTGGGTCTCCATCCTTTCTGTGGCTTCGTGGGTGGACAGACCTCGGTTTCTATCAAGGTGTGGCAGGGTTTCCATGCTGCTGTGTCCGGGGCAGGAAGGCAGGTGTCCACATCTCCCTGGGAAGTGAGCGTGCTTGGACTCCTTACGGGAGTGGGCTTGCTGGATCTGGGCCTGCTCTGTCTTCTGGTGGCTCCTGGAGACACCATGATGCTGCAGCCAGCAGGCCGCTGCTCTCCGCCTGGATCAGCCTCCTCCAGCCAGTCCCCATCCTGGCAGCCTGCATTGCCAACTCGCGTCTTTGCCTCCGGTGACCTCCTCGCCTCTTCCTCCTGCCCGAGGCTTGCATCACGTGCTTGCCACTTGGTGTGGAGGTCAGCTGCATGGGCTCTGGAATGGCTGTCAGTTTGAATCCCGCCCTGGCCACTTGCTGGCTGGACGGCTATGAGCAAGGGACTTGCTGGCTCTGGGTCTCAGTTTCCCCTTCTGTTAGATGGGTCTATCTTGGTACCTGCTTTATCAGGTAGTCGTGAGGGTTACGTGGCACCTAAAAAGGGCGCAGG